TTAAACAAAACCAGGACAGCAAAAAGGAGAGGTCTCTTTGGGAAGAAACATGAGAGAAATAAATTGCAAATGCAATTAAAAGAAATAATTTGATAAATAATGAGATATTGTTGATCAAAAACTGTTGCAGCTGTTATTTTATCATAATTTATACACCACTATAGCATATATTCATATTTTTTAATTACATTTTATTTTTAATATTTTCAGTGTTCATTTTAATTTAGTAATTTTATGTCATGTCCTTTAATAATTTTTACTAGTTTTTTTATTTTTAATTTATATTTATAGCTTTATATTTAAAGAGGTCATATGATGTGATTTCAAGTTTTCCTTTCTCTTTGGAGTGTTACAAGCTGTGCATAGATCAAAGTTAAAGACTCTAAGTTAAAACCCCCTAAAACGGCTCGTTCTAACACGCCCCCACATATCTACCTCACTATGTGGAAATATTTGCATAATGCCGCCCAAATGTGCACGCAAAGAAAGAAGGCGTGGTTTCAATAACCACAGTTAGTGTTGAAGCAGCATGTCAGGGAGACGCTGTGTGTTTCTAGACGAAAGCAAAAGCACTTTATTTGGCCTTCCAGAAGTAGGTGCATTTAGGAATCTTTAAGATCCCTTACAACAGAACAGCAATGCATTTTATGGACGACCGTTTCGTGAACCTAGGAGAGGAGGTAATTCTGACTTTGCTATGACAATCTGGCGCTTCTGAATCAGCTACTGTTTTGTTATTAGTTTAAGTATTTGCTATCGACTGTTCAAATGCGGAGTTTTGTGCATCATGTGTGTGTGCGCATGTGTGTGTGCGCGAGCGAGAGAGAGAGCTAGAGAGAGAGAGAGAGCGCGCGTCACATCACAGTGGAGTCAGCTGTCTTAACCGTGGCTTGTGTACTGCACACATACCAGCTTCATCACTGTGTCTGTCACGAGACTCTGTTCCCCTTTCGGGCTCTGTCTTTACATTTATTTTGAAAGATGAAGCTGGCGATTATGGTAAGGGGCGTTACATTTCCGACGAGTGCTTGCGGTGTTCGGCCAATCACAATGCACTGGGTCAGCTGGCCAATCAGAGCAGACTGCGCTTGTCGGAAGGAGGGACTTTGTAGAAAACGAAGCGTTTGAGAGAGGCGGGGCATAGAGGACCTACAATAATGTACAGTATTTGAAAAATAATGTGTTTTTTGAACATTAAAGCATGTCAACATATTCTGTTACACCAAATACACAAAATAATGATCTTTAAAAAAGCATAATATGACCCCTTTAACTAAGCTTTTAATTTGCTATTTTAGTTTTAGTAATTTTAGCACGGATGACAACTTATTTTCAGTTAGTTGCCAAGGCAAGTTTATTTTGAGATTTTCATCTAATTTATTTCAATTAATGAAAATTAATTTTCATTAATATCGGCATCACAAATGGTGTTACCCATGAAACCACCAGCTAAAATCATGCACACATTCAAAATCTTTAATTGCTGATCACTACTAACTATATCATACTCTACAAATCTATACGCAGTGATTTCTGCCATGTCACCAAATATAATCACATTATGTGAGGTAACACAAACGAGCAAACGTTGAGTAAAAAAGACATGACTGCACGCTTTGAAAAAGCTCTCCATTTAGCGTGTGTGTGCACTGGGGGAGAGGGGGAGAGACGAGTGTGTGCATGGTGAGCGCGGAGAAGCCGTTCTATTGGAGAGTTGGGCTTAAATTCCAGACATGTCCTTATTAAGGAAGTGCGGCGTTAGTTTTCTCTCTCTCTCTCCCTTATATCAACCGAGCCCCCTCTCGCTCTACCCTCTTCCCCACCCTGCGCTCCCAAGCACTCTGACCAAATAAGGAGAGGCGAGCAAAGGATGAGGGGATGGGGAGGTGAAGGAGGGAGGAGTGATGACATGGTACACATATTTAGTTCGACACTGGTGCACAACCTCCTCTTTCCCGCCTCCTCTCTCTCTCGCCCTCCCGAACCAAACAGAGCTCTCAGTCAGTATATAATGCTGAAGAATTTCCATGTGGTCCAGGAATGTAAATAGCGCAGTGAAAGCCATGCAGCGCACACATTCATTCAGACGCCCATTGAATGAACACAAGCCCTCCCTGCCCACTATCTCACAGAGCTCCAACACAGTATGTATTGTTGTCAGCTGAAGTACTGAGTTGGCTCCAGCAATGATTCTCCTGGTTCACCGGATTCCTCACGATCTCTGTAGGAGAAAGCCCAGGGAAACTTACTTCAGTATGATCTAATATCATTTACAAAACATGGACTTACAGCCAGTTTTTCCCCAAGCTAACACTTCCAACCATGGAATCTGGCATGGACGTATGGAGGAATTTGGGGGGGCAGAAGTTGCCAGACTATTCTTACCAGAATCATAAAGACTTAGTCATAAGGCCGTTCCAGGAAAGGGGCACTGATTGAGGTTTACTTGGTGGCCTTTTCGGATTTTCCTCTCAGAGAGGTCGTTTATGACTCAAAGTCAGACATTGTGGTCACACACAAGATGCACATGTACAAGAATCAGAGGACTGAACAAGAAGTGAATTCATGACTTCGCACATCAAATTACACAGCTGATATATATGTTTTCTGTAGTTATGGTGAAAAGATCTAGAAGATTAAAGTTTCACTGAATTTAAGCTATTACTTCATCTGCAGGCATGTTGGTTAAACAGTGGAAATAATTGCTAATTATCATAATAAACTGTAGTTAAAGTATAATTTAGCTAGTACATATTATGTACTGCTGATGAAGAATAGCAATAAAGCTTGGTTTATGAAGAAACACACTTGTGCCACCAAACTACATTTCCCATCATTCTCTGTGACCGAATGAGAGGGATAAAATACACAGATAAAACATGAACCATTATCAGTTATGTTGCATTAGTGCTAAAAAGGCTTCCTGTCTTTGTCAGGAAGTGAAAAAGTTTGCCAGCAAATCAATTTAATTTTAACCAAAACTACTTAAAATAATCACTTATAAATTGTTATATTTTGAAGCCAGTATTGGTTATCAGCTTCAAAATGTAATTTACATTTCAAAAACTTTTGAATTGGATATCTATAATATCAACCTGAAATAAAAAAATAATGTAGGTCTACTATAAACTATTTGAACTACATATATGTGTATATATATATATTCTTTTTTCCCCCCTCTATTTCTAGTTTTAAAAAAAGTCATTGTATTTCATTGGATGTGTGAGTGAATGTATATATTATATACATACATACACACAAACAAACAATGAAATATAATGGACTTTTTTTAATTAAACAAGAAATAGAATAGAATAAATAGAAATAGAATAAATACGGTCACAACTAGAAATGTGATCCTATTTATCAGTTTAAACATCATCCTCTTTTACCAAGAAATGGAGGATTCTCAGGAGAAATCAGGTTAATCAGAGAGAGATTCATGACTCAACCGTGGGATTTAATCCAAATCTGGACTTTCCATTATCTCAAAACTATTTTACGAGAAGTCAGGCTGTCACAATCACAGTCCCATTTGTGTAAATGTGCTAGGTTTCTCAAAGAAGCTCTCAACAGAACTCATCCTGCATTTCCAC